GGGATGGGAGTGTCGGAGACGGTGAGATTGGCACAGGACAGAGCAGGATTTAGGGCTGTTGTATTTAGGGTCGCTATGAGTTGCAAGTGACTCGCCGGCACATAACAACAAACAACAACAACTAATAACTCAATTGTTGTTGTTGACTGCCTTCCAATCGAGCACGACTCACAGTGACCCTATAGACAAAAGGCCTGAAGCCCCTCTACAACTCTCGACATTTATCAAAGCTCACAGAGTTTCCGGAGGCATGTGGTTTAGGAAGTGGATGCCATTCCTGTTCCACACAGTAGAAGTAAAATGACGAGCTCTGGTCAGGGTTGTCCATGATGGTTAAAGAAACTGGCTTCTTGTAAATGAAAGACAGTGTGAACCTAACATCCAGTTTGCAGGTCCAGCAGTCAACATTCATAAATACATACAGCCTGGGTTACTCCATGAAGCAGACCAAATCTGTGCTAATCTAACCCCTGATTGGTCACTCAGGGTCACTAGGAGTTGAATCAACTCTCAAACAGTGGGTTTAGGGTTTTTGTTTATTTTGGAGGGAGAGGTAGAGAAAAAATAGATTATTTTTTTTAAAAATAGGAATACTGACATGACCTAAAAAAGAATTTATTTTTATTTTTTTTTTATGTGAGTGTACCGTCAAATCAGATCTGACTGGTACAGGAGGAGATTGTCCCTCTTTTTCCCGGCAGAGCATCTGGTGGATTCGAACTGTGCGCCTCTGGGATTGTAGTTGCAGCTCCTTGCCACTAGGCCACCAGAGCTCCCCTAAAAATAATTTATTGTTGTTGTTAAGTGCTGTCGAGCCACAGGTGACTCATAGTGACTCTTATGAACGAAAGACCTGAACACTTGTGGAATTTCTTTTGTTTCTCCAAGTTCATAGAGTTTCTGGATGCAAGCTGTTTCGGCAGTGGATGCCACTCCTGCTTCCAAGCTTGTTTTAATCGGGGAGTTCCACCAAACACTGTCCACCATGGGTGACCATGATCGCATTTGACACATCACTGTCACAGTGTTCAGCTTCACAGCAACAAGTTACCTCTGTATGGCAGGTGGACACACCAGGGCTATACTGCTTCGAAGAATGTTTGACCAAAAGGTAAGAAGAAAAATTATTCAATGAAGAAAAACTAATCTGGCAATAAAAGTTTCAACGAGTTAGAAGAGAGTTTTTAAATAAGATACGCAGGGAAAGGGCTTCAATTAGGTGAATGTTACAGAAAGAACAGAAACGGAGACCTGACTGAATTGCACGCGGAGCCATAAATCACAGAGGGAGAAGCGTCTGAATCTGAGAAATGAGCTGGAACAACCCCTGCCTCACCTGGGATTCAACAGGAGGTGACTCATCAGACGTTACTTCATCTGTGTTCTCCTTTTTCATAAGGACAGAGTTCTGAGCAGAGAAAACTAGGAGAAAGAAAAGAATCACTGTAGTCTTGAGTCCAGTCCAGCAGCACCTACAGCACCCACCCAGTCCCCCTACCATGGGACAGAATGATGCTGGACGTCCCATGATGGGAGAAAAACAAACAAACCCACAAACCCCAGATAATCCACTTCTCAGCTCAACTGAGTCCCCAGAGCCTCAATCATTCCTTCTGCACCTCTGAGCCCTTCCTTGGTGCCCTGCTGCCTTCCAAATAAAGCAGAAGTGTTTCCAATATCAGTGCTTCCCCGTCTCACTTTTACGGACTGGACTGTGTCCCCAGTAAGTACCTATGAGCTCAGCTGGGTCACTATTCTCAGGGTCTTGGCAGTTACGTGCTGACGTCACGAAGCCTGACGTAATGATGTCATTTCACCGTCTTCGGTGTCATCTGATGTCATCAGTTCCGATTCAAGATAAAGGAATGAAGGTAGAAGCCACCCCTTTAATCTAGTCAGAGCCCTGATTCAATGTTGCAGGAATTCCCCAGGGTGGGCCTGTACCAGTTTTTATCTTGTTGTTATTGTTGACTTCCATTGAATCACATCACGACTCTATGAACAAAAGACCTAATGCCTTTCCGTAGCTATCCTTGTTTCTCCAAGTTCATAGTTCCCAGCGGCATGTGGTCTAGGAAGTGGATGCCACTCCTGCTTCCCAACCAGTTCTACAACTGGGAGCTCCACCAAACACCGTCCACAATGGGAAAGCATTCTGGTATCTCATACTTCATTGGTGCAAGGTTCAACATGACAGCAAACCCAAGTGACCTCATACCTTGGCACTTTTTATCTTGTTATTGCTGTTAAGTGCAGTTGAGTCGTAAACGACTCCTAGTGACCCTATGAATGAAAGTCCTCAACACCTGTGTGCCTTTCATCCTTTCTCCAGGTTCATAGGGTTTCCAGAGGCAAGCTATTTTGGAAGTGGATGCCACTCCTGCTTCCAAGTTTGTTTTAATTGGGGAGCTCCACCAAACACTGTCCACCATGGGTAACCATGATGGCATCTGACACATCAGTGTCACAGTGTTCAGCATCACAATCGCCCGAATTACCTCTCTATGGCAATTGGACATACTAGGGTTATACGACCTAGAAGAATGTTCGACCAAAAACAATTAAAAGTAGGCCTAAGGGCTGTGGATTAGAGTCACCACCTTTAACTTGGTAGCATCACTTTCTGTCCACTAGTCCAACAGATCTCTATGTTAAGTGTCATCAATAAAAAGAGAGGCCACAGTATTACCAAGAAAGAAGAGCCAGGAGTGGAGCGTGTGTCCTTTGAACCCAAGGCCCCTAGACTAAGAACCTCCTAGACCCAGGGGAAGATGGCTATCAAGTCAGATGTAGTTCACTTAAGTACCCCTGTCCACTGCAACAGAAACGCTAAGAGAAGAAAAGAACCTCCCTGCTGGACTGGCAGAAAGAAAACACCATCCCCAGAATCAGGACTTCTGGCCTCCTCCACTGTGAAAATCAGAAATATGTTAAAACATGCACAATACACAGAAGTGGTCAGTCCCTTTCTCTTTCACTCACCTTTTTCTTCCTCCTCACGTGCCTGGATCAAGTTTGCCACGAGGGTCCCTGCCTCATGGCTGTTCTTAGGCTGTTTCAGTCTCACCCAGGTTCGGACCTCCTCGGGCAAGGCACACAGGAACTGCTCCAGCACTAGGAGCTCCAGAATCTGCTGTTTGGAGCGTGTCTCCGGTCGCAGCCACTCTCTGCAGCGTGCCTGTATCTGTCTCACGGCCTCGTGAGGCCCGGTCACTGCCAGGTATTGAAAATGACCCAACTTTGAAAGGTCTCCCAGGTTCCTATTAGGGGTGGCTTCCGAGCGTTCCTGCTCTGGATGTTGGGGACCCAGTACCTGGGTATTTCTGAAGACGTCCAACATCTCTGCTTCATACACCATCTTTATAGCTTGATCTTCCAAAGGCAAGGTGCTCTAGAGCATAGCCTGTGGAAAGGGTTAGACAGTGTCAAATGTAGAAAAGATATGGAGACCTCGGGGCCTGCAGAAATTACAGAGAAAGGCTTACTAGTGGCCTACAGCCAAGGCAGGGGGGATGGGAACGGAGAGGGACGGAAGGTCCTGTGCAAGGGGGGTGTGGAGACTTAAGAGGAGGAGGGATCCTGGGCAGAAAGGGAGGAAACTTTCATGAAGTGGATGATTCTGGGTAGAAGGTACAAATCTCTAAGAGGAAGGGAGTTTTCTGGGCTGAGATTGTGGATCCTTAGAAGAATGACCAGTCTTGGGTAGAGAAGTGAGTCCCAAGTGGGTGGGAGCAGGACATGCTTTGTAGATCCTCTTGAAGGTTTAAAAGACAACAAAGTGACAGAGAAGTTATAAGGTTTTAAGAAGGTGAGGGAAAGGATCACAGAACCGGGTCCTGAGAGAGGGATCAGGGAAGAGAGACAGAGGCAGAGCTTCGAGAAGGTCATGGACATTACGATGGGCAGAGGTTCTAGAGGATCAGAGTCCTGAAGGCAGGAAGGGATTGAGGAGAAAGCGGAACTGGATCAACAATTACGGGGAGCAAGAGGGAAGAAAGCAGTTACACTATGAGTTTCTTCCCGTATCATAACCATAAGGTGTATAAATGGTTGAAGAGAAAACCAGCTCTGAGTGTAAAATGGTACAACCACTGTGGAAGGCAGTATGGAGCTTTCTCAAAAAGTTGCAAATAGAGATACCATTTGACCCAGCAATTCCACTACTGGGAAAATACCCTAAAGAGACCATAACTACCACCCAAGCAGATATATGCGCACCCATGTTTATTGCGGCTTTGTTCACAATAGCAAAGAGATGGAAACAACCCAAGTGTCCATCAACAAATGAATGGATAGAGAACCTGTGGTATATTTACACAATGGAATACTATGCAGCTTTGAAAAACAAGGAACTCATGCAGTATTATTCAAAATGTGTGACCCTGGAGAACATTATGCTGAGTGAAGTATCTCAGTCACAAAAGGACAAATACTGCATGGTGCCACTGTTGTAAAGAGGAACTGACATTGAGGTTGGAGGGAGACTGAGAAAAGAGGCGATCAATAATGTACATGGCATTGAAACAGATGAGGGAGAGAACTGTATAAAAGGAATATATGAAAACAACGGAAGAATTTTTCTTTAACTTTTCCAAGAGGGTAGTGTACTGGGGTGGTGGTGGGGGTTGGGAGGGGAGAAAAGTACAACAATGAATTAATGGAAATACAAAGTCTCTGTAAATTTTCTTTGAAATTAATAAAATTTTTTTTAAAAAAAGAATGTAGGATTAGGTATTAGTGGCATGACAAGAGTCCAGAATAAGAGCTTCATAGTAAAGTGGGGGGTAGACTGTAAAACAATGGAAGAACTATTATTCATTTTTTTTAAAGTATATTTTGGGGGACAGCGGGGCAGGGAGGAAAATGTGCAACAATGAACGAATGGAAATCCAAGTTCTTTATAAACTTTCATTACAATCTCAATAAAAAAAGAGAAAAACTAGCTCTGTAAACTTTCAGAGAATCACAATTTTATAAAGCGTTGAGGACCGGAGGGGGCGGGACTTCAGGAAGGTGGGACAAGCAGGGGCGTGGCCTCTAGGTGAAGGTCAGGGAAGGGCAGGCGGTGGTGGAAAGACCAGAGAGGTGACCCTCGAGGTGGAAGGGACATGGTGGGGTCAGGGCAGACACACGGGCTTCTGAGGACAAAGGACCATCCCCAAGGGAAAGCGGGGGGCGGCTGAAGGTGAGGTCTCTGAGCATGACGGCCACATGGCCAATGGGGTGGCCGAAGGCACCCTGTCCTCTCACCTGTGAGTCCACGGCAGGCTCTGTCCCTCCAGACCTGGCACCTGCCTGGCGCTGCTGTGTGATCTGTTCTCCGCAGGGCCCCTTCTGTGTCCAGTGTCCAGCACACACTTGCCTGGATGGTTGGTCTTCCAAAAAAAAAAAAAAGCAAGCAAGCATCCAAAAGAAAACAACACCAACACAATTTCTAAACCTCCACTCAAATTAAAAAATAATATAATTGGGGGGGGGACCCAAAATCAACAACAAAACAACAAGATCTGTCGGGTTGTGCTCTGCGCGTTGGTGCCCAGTTGCCTTGGCCCCACTGTTGCCTCTAGACCCTTCCTGGGACCTTATATCCCACCAGGAGATGGTCGGGTGAATTTTCATAGGCAGGTGCACTGCCTGGACACTCTCCTGTCCACACCTCTGCTGTGAGCAACACAAAACCTGGTCAACCTCTTCAAGGCTGGCCAAGTTCCAACCCCTGGATAATTCAACAATTCCACCCTCTATGCTATCTGGACGTCCACCAAGGGCAACACTGTCCACTGTGCCTTGTGGACCTGCACCAACAGGAATGTATCCCTGCTCCACCTGTTACCGGTCCACCTGCTGCATCATAGCCTGACTCTGCAGGATCGTATCTCACACCAGGACCCTGTCCCACTTCCAACAACCAAGCGCCTTCAGGACCTTCTGGTGCCCTACTAACGCCTGGTGGCCCTCATTTTTACCATCAAGTTAATAACAGACGAAGAGATGATGACGTTTTGCTTTCTGAAGTACACATAAGCACATGATTGTATATCTAAAAACTTCTGGTTCCTTCTAAGATTAAATCTCTGTGCACATCAAAAACTCTTTTTCAACAGGGTGAAAAGAAAACCCAGACTGGAACAAACACTTGGTAATACTATCTCAGACAAGAGTCTTGTAACAAAAGTTTACAGAATACTCCTGGGCCTCGACAAGAAAAAGAATGATAACCCAATTACAAAATGGGCAAAAGACACGGAAGGAATTTTCAGAGGATGATACTCGAGTGGCAAACAGACACATGAAGAAATGCTCCAAATTACTGGCAATAAGATGCCAACCAAAACCACAATGAGGTACCATCTCACTTCAATTAATAGTGGCAAAGTTTAGCAGGGCAGCAAGTAATAGATGCTGGAGAGGTTGTGGTGAGAAAAGAACTCTTACACATTGCTGGTAGGATTGTAAAATGGTGCAACCATTCTGGAAGGCAGTTTAGAGCTTCCTCAAAAACCTGAACCTAGACCCATTCCATACGACCCAGCTATTCCACTATTTGGAATATACTGAGAATATGAGAACTGAGGCACAAACTGAGATTGGTACACAATGTTCACAGCAGCATTATTCACCATCGCCAAGAACGGGGAAACAACCCAAATGTCCAACCACAAATGAATGGACTGAGAAATTATGGTACGTTCACACAATGGAATACTACGCAGCACGGAGAAGCGATAACTTTGTAAATTATGACCTAACTTGGGAGGGTCTGGAGAGCTTTATGCTGAGTGAACTAACTCAGTTCCACAAGGATAAATATTGCATAATACCATTATTGTAAAATAAGGATCCAGGCGGGGTGGGAGAGGCTGGAAGCAGAGGGATGTGGAGGTACAGGGGGAAAAGGGGATTAATCATTGGGTTGTACAATTTGAAGGTTGGGGGCATGAGAGAAACTGAAAGAATTTGTTTGAATCTGTACTAGAATTTTGTAAATAAACTAATGAAAAGGGGGGAAAAAAGTTGATGGTTCCATCGTTATTAGAAGACATTCATGAAAGAACAACTCATGCACCTCTCAGAGAAGATCTCTCTCTCGTACTTGGATGTCCAACTGAAACAATCATAAAAGCACAAATCATTCCAATGGGGGTTTTTATTTGGTTTCCTTGGAAAGCTAAAATGACTATACTAGATAACCGTTTGATAGAATTTGTATAAAACAAAGCTACACACTCAAAAATCTAATGATGTAGGTTAATATCAGACTCTGCAATTTAATTGGCAAATTATTTCAAGTATTTTTTGTAAGCCCTTTCCTCCCTAAAGAAACACTTTTAAAAATAATCACATTGCCATAATTTAGACAAATGATGCCTTCAAACATTTTGAGATGCTCCTTCTATTGCATAAACAAGCCTGACCCTGTTGTGGGTTTTTTATGTGTGATTAAAGTAGTAATTACTATCACATGGTTCTCTTCATTAGAAAACCGATGTCCGTTTCTATCTTTGAGCACTGATTAGTACAACTTCTTGTGTTCCACCTAATCTGGTTTCTTATTTTACCACATGGGCCATAAAATTATAAAACCCGCTATTTGTAAAAACTTGTTGCTGTTGTTGTTATTATTGTTGACTGACGTCCAGTCAAGCACGACTCACAGCGATTCTATGAACGAAAGACCGAATGCCTTTCCATGACTATCGTCCTTTCTCCCAAGTTCACAGTTTCCAGAGGCATGTGGTTTAGGAAGTGGAGGCCACTCCTGCTTCCAAATCTGTTGTACAGCTGGGAGCTCCTCCAAACATTGTCCACATTGGGAAACCAGTATGGTATTTGATACCCGATGGCAAAAGGTTCAGCATCACAGCTTGATCTTTTATAGAAAGACTGTTTTTAAAAAAGACAAACTTGATATGCACATCCAAGTTTACTGCAGCTTTGTTCATAATAGCAAAGGTCTGGAAACAACCCAAGTGCCCATCAACAAACAAATGGACAGAGAAGCTGTGGTATATTCACACAATGAAAAACAAGATACTCATGTAATATTATGCAAAATGGGTGACCCTGGAGGACATCAGGGTGAGTGAAATATCTCAGTCACAGAAGGACAAATATTGCATAAGGCCACTGTTGTAAAACAGGACTGACATCGGGGTTGAGGGAGGTCAGAGAAGGAGAGGAGGAATGATGACTATTGCATTGAAACAGATGAGAGAGAGAACTCTTTAAAAGGGATATATAATATTATTGTCATGACAGAAATTCAGAATGAAGAAGGCTGCACAGTGGAGTGGAATTGTGGGAGGGACTGCATAACAATGAAATAATTTTACTTTTCAAAGAGAATGAACTGGAGGG